CAGATAAAGGGTAATATCCAAAATCTATGAGGAACTCACCAAACTCCACACCTGAAAAACAAACAACCCAGTGAAAAAATGGGCAGAAGATATGAACAGTCTCTTCTCCAAAGAGGGCATCCAGATGGCCAACAGATACATGAAACGATGCTCAGCATGACTCATCATCAAGGAAATACAAATCAAAACCACACTGACATACCACCTTACACTGGTCAGAGTGGCTAAAATGAACAAATCAGGAGACTCTAGATGCTGGTGAGGATGTGGAGACTCGGGCACCCTCCTACACTGTTGGTGGGAATGTAAACTGGTATAGCCCCTCTGGAAAACAGTGTGGAGGTGCCTCAAGAAATTAACAATAGAACTCCCCTATGACCCAGCAATAGCACTGCTAGGAATTTACCCAAGGGATACAGAAGATGTGGTTTATCTATACGATGGAATACTGTATGGCAATGAGAAAGAAAGAAATCTGGCCATGTGCAGCAACGTGGATGGAACTTGAGGGTGTTATGCTGAGCGAAATAAGTCAGGCAGAGAAGGACAAAATATGTTTTCACCTATAAGTGGAACAGGAGAAACTTAAGAGAGGACCATGGGGGAGGAGAAGGGGCAAAAATAGTTGCAGAGAGGGAGGGAGGTAAACCATGAGACACTCCTGAATACTGAGAACAAACTGAGGGCTTTTGGGAGTGGGGGAGAGGGGAAGGGGGGTGATGGGCATGGAGGATGGCACTTGTTGGGATGAGCACTTCGTGTTATATGGAAACCAACTTGACAATAAACTATGAAAGATAAATTAAAAAAACAAAAAAAGAAAAAGAAAAGTGAATTTTTTTCTCTATTTTTGGATAACAAGGGAGCACATAGACATTAAGTTATTTCTCGTAGTGAGTCAGTGGAAGCACTAGGAACAGAAAACAGGATTCTCAATGCCAGTTTCTTGCTTCATTGTTGGCCGTGATGCTAGTGTCTTTCAGGAGATTCGTCAGTGTATTTGCATTCCAGAAACCCTGTACAAACCTTTATTTACCATGAACATGACTGCTTGCTTTCTCTCTTTCTTTTGAACTCTACATCTCATGGGAAACTGGAAACTGAAATCATTTTATCTTTGTAGAAAAAAGTGTGTCAACAATTAAAATATTTGTTAAACTTCAGTTTTTTCAAGAGAAAGAAAGTCTTCAGCTTCTCACTTTGGCTACTCCAAGGGTGAAACTTTTATAAAATGAATAAAACAACAGGAAACAGCTATAAGAATCTCTCCAGAGTGACCTCAGTTCATGTATTTAGAAAAAAATTTTCAAGGGAAACATTGCCTGTTTAGAAATGCCAGATCAGTTTTCCATACTGCAGAAGGTAGAAGGGCTAGAACTTCTTTGGTAATAAACATTTTGAATGGAAATATTTCTAAATGTCTGTAACATCTACCTTACTTCATAAAAAGAGTATAGTGAACACACTAACGTTTCTTGATGATCTAGGCTGGTAGATAAAGGAGAATGATTGTATTGAGCTAAATATTTTGTACTACACTTAGACATTGTTCAAGTTCATTGTGCTCCCTTCCTGAGTTATGAATGACCCCAGATTGCTTTGCTTTTGGCTATCTGATACATGGTTTTTGTAATGTTTCTTGTTCTTCACCCTCTCTTCTAACTGCTGTCTATGAGCTCTTTTTTTGTCATTTCTAGTTTCTGGCACTTAAAATCTATTTTGGATGAGTGTAATTGAGCAGCCACACCTGTTTGGCTCAGGCTGTCAAGCAAGTGTAAATAACATTTGAGTGGGGAACAGAGAGGTTCTACTATGAGTAATAAGCTCGATTTTCTGTCTTGTAGTCAGAGGCCCTTATTTAAACTCCTAGGGGATATTTAAAATTATTTCTGGGTTTTCAAGTATATTCTCAGTAATTGAAATTGCTGAGTGGTTGAGCTTTATATAAGTGAAGTAGTATCATAAAATATTTCTACTTGAATCATAGAATTAAAAAATGACACCCCGGCCCTTTATTTTGGCTGGGTTCTGAACTTGGAGTCAAAGAACTAAATGGAGTCCTTCCTTTATGTAATGATGTGTTAAAAGCAAAATCATTTTACTGCCTCACAAAGCATGTAGGATATATATTTAAAGCTACCAAAATAATTCAATGACTGACTATTTGGCAGTGTTCTTATTCAATGGAAAGTATCGCAGTTAAATTACTTTTACTGAAATGCATTTTGAGTAAATCAGCTCCTATATTGAGATATTGTAAGAAACAGCCTCATGAAACACATCATATGTCCTGTGCAGATGTTCAACAGACATGTATGACACGTCTCCCTTAGGAGAAGTTTCTCTCAGCTACCACATGTAGGAATATCTGGGCCTCTCTGAGTATCTGATTTGTTTTTACCTTATGGATATGGTGATTCATGGCATTTTCCTCTTTGCATTGACTGCCAGAAAGCTCAAGGTGAAAATTGCACAGGAATTCATGCATATATACAATATTAAGTTTTAATTCACTCCTGATTTCATTCTATTTTCTACTCTACATTTCTACATTCTATTTTCTACTCTAATTTTCCCTTAGCTTGCATTTTTATCATATGCTTTTCTATTGTATTAGAATAAGTTAATATAAACATCTTTTCAAAATAATATCTGTCCATTGGATAAGATCTTGAAATTTTACTTAAGAGTAAGCATCTGAGACTTATGCCAAATTCTTACTGTCATAAAAGAGTAATACCTAGTGATTTTTACATATCAGGATTGAATGGTATTTTGTTTTAGAAGAGCTTGGTTTTCTGCTCTACATATTGGTAATGTTAAACTTTAATACGTGTGAGAATCAGATAGAATGTTGGTTTAAAACCTTGCTCCTGAATCGGTAGGTTGGGTGGAGCCTGGGAATCTGCATGTTAAGCTCCCAGGTGAACAGATTCTGAGGCAGATGGTTCATAGATACCCCCTGAGAAGCAGGACGGATGTCTATGTCAGGATATCCTAAAGTTGAAACAATCCTAGGCATCTCTCTTAGACAAATCACTCCTTTGTTATACAAAAAAATGTCCTGAGCTGGCAGCATAAATGTGAGTTCCTAAACCCTAGACAACTATTTGAGAAAGGTCAACCTCCTTCTAACTTCCCTTTTCCATTTTCTTAGGACTTCTCTACTTTAGCACTATGTATCAACTCCACTCAAAGACAATATGGGGTACAGTCAATGTACTTGAAACAGCATCACAGCTAAATTATCCTTGCATCGGCACAACCTAACGCCAAGAGCAATATTCAAACTGTGCATACTGGGGCACCCGGGTGGCTCAGCTGGTGAAGCATCCGACTTAGCTCAGGTCATGATCTCACGGTTTGAGTTTGAGCCCCACAATGGGCTCCATGCTGACAGTGTGGAGCCTGCGTGGGATTCTTTCTCTCCCTCTCTCTCTGCCCCTCCCCTGCTGACTGTCTCTCTCTCTCAAAAATAAATATATAAAAAAAAAATTTTTTTAATGTGCATACTCTGGCTGCAGCATTGGGGCAGAGGTCAGCAATGGAGATCCCCACCAATTTAAAGGGGTAACCCTTTTAATTGGGGGAGGTCTTGGAGTCTGGGGAAGCAGCCAGGGTGACCAAAGTGTTAGGGAGCTTGGTGAGTGGCTATTTATCAACTGATAGAGAAGTATTTAAGTACTATGGTCATCCCAGCAGGTGCCAGAGGAACAGCAGGCCTGCCCAGACATGCTAGAAATGCTCTCCATGTTTTGAACTGAAATGGGGATGGGCAGTGGAGCACTGCAGCCAACCTCCCAGGGACCAGGCCACTGGAGCCAAGCAGTTAGGAACCCTGGAGCAAAGTTCCCTTTCCTGCCAGCAAGTTTCCTGAGGACTAAATATACAGATCTGATAGGTGCTCATTGCCGAAACAATGAATAAATGGGGCCAGTGGCCCCTGAATAGTTGGTTAATTAAGTTCTTATTAAGTTAGGCCAAACCTGAGTCAGACTTCAGCCACTTTCCCTCCAGCCTCTGCCCATGAATCGTCACATGTACACCATGTCCTGTCCTGTCCCTCCTGTGGCCAACATGTAAGAATAGTTCTATATCTTTTTCTTTTGATTAGCTTTTGTAACTGAGGTACTGAACTAAATAATGAACTCCTGGGCCTCTGTCTGGAAAGTTTGCTAGTCACCTGCAGTCGTGTGCTTGGACAGGTTACAGGGTACCAAGAGGGCCCCTTGTTTTATGACCTCTGGTGTTGCAGATTCAGGAGCAGCTCAGGGTCCCTCTTGGTATTATAGTAAATGCAAATTTAGGGAAAAGGATGCAATCAGAATGCCCAGGAGAATGAAGAAAACAGCCTATTTCCTTCATTCAGCACCTACTTGAGCACTAAGTCAAGGCCCTGCTCCGGATACTGGGTGAGAGTGGTAATGAGAGACAAGCCCTAACAGAGGCTATGGTCCTGTGTGGGTCAGAGGTTCAACAAGTAATCACATAGTCTATTTAACTGCATGATGGGTGTAAAAGGGGACAGGGTGTTGAGGGCAGTGTATGGTGTCAAGGGCAGAGTGATTCAGGTAAAGTAGTGGTGTTTGAGCTAAATCTGATGAAGTGGGGGAAGGACATTCTGACAAAGACCCTGAGGTGGGAAGCAGGTGGTGCATTCAGGTTTGAGGACCCTGAAAAGGGCCATGAGAAAGAAGAGAGCCTGGCACAAGAAATGTGGTGGGTAAGGCAGGCAGTATGGTCCTCTGGGCCTTGAAACCCCATCAAGGTTTGGGTTCATTACATCAGAGACCATGGGATTCTCCTGCACCCATTCATCACTGCTGCCTCCCATCTGTGAGTTCAGCCTCTCTTCTGTGAAAATCCTGGGTCTCCTGACAAACCTCCATGAAACACCCATCAAGGTTTTACAGATTTTGATTTTTCTCTTCTCCCTTTGCGAGAGCTTTCTACTAACGTACGTACTCCTAAGAAGATAACAAACAAGCCATTATAAAAACCTGTAAATCTTTTTGATGTTTTTCTTCCAGAATCTGAATATCCATTTTGTATTTGTCATTTGCTTCTTCAAGTGCCTTCTCGATTGCTTGTTTTTGACGTATATCAGCCTTTGAAAGAAACAGTCCATATTTATGACTATTTATATATTAATACACACATTTAAGTTAACATACATTTTTCATGTTTACTGAAAATTAGCAACCATAACGGGACCCCTCGTTACTTGCTCTGTCCCCATCTCAAACCTCCCGCAGCAAACTGGCTGTCTCAGCCAGAGATGCCCTAATACATCCCAACCAATGGTTAACATCACTGTTTTGTGAACTGATAAAGAGGGTTTTAGTATAAGCTGCTGGGTTGTCTTTTCTTTGGCACGTTATTTCTTGCTTGATTGACTATCAAAGTAATGTATGCTCATTGCAGAAAATCTGGAAATTCAGAGAAGTGGAAAGACGCACAAAGCTAGAATTTGCTGAGAAAAGAGGCTGAGGACCATCCCAGACTCCCATGTATCAGGTGTTCAGAAAGAGATTCTATTATTTTATTTGAAGATAATGCCCAGATCATTAGATATGCTGGCATTCAAATTGCAGATTATTCACAAAAGCATTGCCTTTATATTAGGGTGTGTAATTGATGGTTTGCAATTGATTTGAATTTTACTATTATTGATAAAGATAGAAGACTACTAAGATTTTTATTCATATTATCCTTTGCACTTGGAGCATTTTGCCCTTTCAAAGTACTTTAATACCAATCTTGTGCTGGCACTAATGCTGGACAATTCCAACACCGTTTGCTATGATGTCTATGTTATAAAGGAACTGAGAAATAATGCTCTAAGCACTGTGGTTTGTCCTGCCCTCATGGAGCATAATTCTCTTTGGGAAGTTGTCCATGTTATTCTTTAAAAAAAATTTTTTTATGTTTTATTTATTTCTGAGAGAGAGAGAGAGAGAAAGAGAGAGACAGAGAGAGAGACAGCATGAGCATGGGAGGATCAGAGAGAGAAGGAGATACAGATTCCGAAACAGCCTCCAGGCTCTGACCTAGCTATCAGCACAGAGCCCAAAGCAGGTCTCAAACCCACAAACTGTGAGATCATGTCCTGAGCCCAAGTCAGACGCTTAACCAACTGAGCCACCCAGGTGCCCCTCGTCCATGTTATTCTAACTAAGACTGAAAGAGGTGGAGGGTGGAGGATTGAGATTTTGCTTCAGTTAAGTGTCTGGGATCTGACCATGAGCCTCAATACACTCAAATTGCCCCCATGACCACCCTCAGCAGTCATAAGGACAAGGAATCAAGGACTTTGGAGAGAAGGGAGCAAGGAGAGTAGGCCATAATGCAGCATTTGGGAAAAAAACAGGCACTTGGTCAAAGGTTTTACACACTGCACAAATGGATGGTCTACATATTAAATATTAAGCAATTGTAAACAATTGTCAACAAGGATGCCTTTTTAAAATTTTTTTTTTTGAAGTTTTAATCCACTGAGAATAAAGAGAGCAGAAATCATCCACACACACATATGGGCAGTTTAGAAGGAAGGAAGCTCCTAATGGTGTCTGCTTCTTACTAAGCAGTTCCTGAGCACCAGGCACATTATTTCATTGAACTCTTTCAACAATCCTACAGAATATTTTTTTTTAAATGTTTTTTATTTACTTCTAGGAGAGAGAGAGAGACAGCGTGAGTAGGGCAGGGTCAGAGAGAGAGGGAGTCACAGACTGAAACAGGCTCCAGGCTCTGAGCTGGCAGTCAGCACAGCGTCCGACGCGGGGCTGGAACCCACGAACCGCGAGATCATGACCTAAGCGAAAGTCGGAAAGTCTGACGCTTAACCGACTAAGCCACCCAGGCGCCCCGACAATCCTACAGAATATTATTGTTCCCCTTTTACATTTGAAGAAGCCAAGATCACAGGGTTGAAGAACTTGCCCCAGGTCCCACAGATAGCCAAGATTCAAAATCAGTTCCACTTATTGTTTCAGACAAATCCAAAAAGTGAAAGGACTCTAAAGATGCATTAGGTTGATATTCAGGTTCTTTTACCTGAACCCACACATCAGCTTCTGCTTTTGCAATACGTTCTTTGAGTACTGCCTCTTGGAATTGCTCTTCTTTATTCAGAATATCTGCCCCAATATCTGTGTATTTGAGGAAAAATAATCACAAGTAACCACAGACTGTTTTTTTTTCCTTTTCACTATTACCTAGTTATTAGAGTTATCTAAAAGATCTACTCTTTTAGGAGATGCCAATATTTTCTTTAAAGGGGCATGTTTTTCCCTAATTAATGAGAGGGAACTTACAGCACCATTGGGTCTCGAGACAGTCTGTTCCCTTCATCACACTCAGGCCATGCAATAGGCAACTGGGGACGTAAAGTCATAGAAAAGAAGAGCATTTCATGCTCCTAAAACAGGACAGTGAGGGAATATTCAGGCGATATTAGCACATCATCCTGCTCCTCTCTCCCCATCCCTCTCTGGATGCTGGTGTTATCTCTCTTGGGAAACAGGTAGCAGAAAATGCTTTCTTCACTCTGAAACCTGCCTTTCTTCATGTGCAGGTTTTTGTGGTTTAGCCACCTCAGTTGTGGAGTAAGGGGGTAGCTGTTTAGTACTTCTCTGTCAATGGTCTCATTTAATTTCTGCACAATACTCCCATAATAATAGCCTTCCTGCCTGGACAAGAAAATAAAAGCCTCCGTAGGTTAGAGGACTACACAGATAGCTAGGAACAGAGCTAGACCTGCTGCCAAGCTCCATCTTCATCTGCCAGAGCGGACTGCGAGAGGTGGCTCAGGACCTGTACGCAGGCTATGAGCCTTTTCAGTGCTCAAGTCACACACACAAAGTCCTCTTTCTCCCCAATCCAAACTCTTAGACTACCTACCCTTCATTCCATTTATTTCTCACCTCTTAGATTTGTTGAATTATTAACTTTTCATGCGATCAGGTCTTGGCAATCAACTTCCTAAAATTACAAAGCATCTCTTATATTGCAGTTTCTCTCTCATTGTGCCCAGCTTGGCGACACTACTGTGGACATATGTGGTTGCCCAATATCTCTGCTTTCCCTCTGGTAACAGAAACCATTTTTCTCAAGAATGTTCCTCTCTTATTTCATGTTGTTCTGGAGTGTGTGTGGAGGGGGGGTGGGGGTCCTGCAAATCACTGCAGCCAACCTGCATGTCCCATCACATTGTCCCCATTCTCCAGACCATAATAATCAGGCCAGGATTGGGCACATGCTCCAACCTGGCCAACCAGGCTCTTCTCTAGGATTTTATATAAGGATTTAAGGAGAACATAGCTTTTTTTCCCTCTGAGATTTCTAAGCTGGTGGTAATAGCCACTTAGAGCAGTTTGGGACCACTTCTAGTCTTTTCCCTGCTCCTGGAGTAAGCTTCATTGCAGGAGTAAAAATTAGGCCAACTCACTGAAAGAAGGTGTGGCTAGACTGAAAGCCCTGGTGCCAGATCTCGCATGGGTTTCTCTGTTAAAGGGTTAAGAAATTCTATTTTATGCATGGTCTACTCTGAGTTGTGTTTCTGTCACCTGCAAATGAACATCTGTTTGGTGGCATTAAGAGTCTATGATACTAGATTATCACTGAATCAAAAAAGAGAGGGCAATGAATAGCATGGTAGAAATGGACATATACTTTGTAGGCTCAACACTGTGTGGATATGATTATGAAGGATCTAGGAAGAAAGGTGACTGAGCATAGGCCATCAATGTATTAAATTGTGGTATAAAAATGTGGTATAACTGTGGTTTGCTATTACTTTTTTTTAGCTTAAATCCCATTATTTTATATTATTCTCAACCCTGATTATACAACAGGATTCTTGCATAGCTTTAAAAAAATACTCAAAAAGGGAAAGACTACTAATACAAAGAATAACTTGGAGAGATCTCAAGGGCAGTATATTGAATTAAAAAAAAAAAAGCCAATATGAAAGAGTTATATCCTACATGATTTAATTTATATAACATTCTCAAAGGGGTAAGATTATAGTGATGGAAAACAGATCAGTGGTTGCCAGGGGTTCAGGTTAGGGTATGTAAGGAATACAAGGGAGTTCTGTTGTGGAGACAGAGCAGCTCTATGTCCTCATTGTGGTGATGGTTACATAACTCTACATGTGATACATTTCATAAAACTATAAACAAGGGGAAAAAAATGCATGTAAGGTCTGTACCTGAGTTAACAATATTGTTCCAATACCAATTTTCTGGTTTTGACAATATACTAGCATTTTGTAAGATATCAGTGAGAGAAACTAGAGGAATCCAAGGGAACTCTGTTCTGTTTTTAAAACTTGTCTTAAACTATTTCCAAATAAAGCTATTAAAATGTGAAACAAGCACAAAAAATAAAAACCAACACATGCTGAAGCCTGATTCTGAAGGTTCTAATTTAGTGGGTCTGTGTTGAATTAATACGAAATCCAATGACTCTATTTATAGATTTGGAGTAAAAACAAAAATTCTTAAATGCTTATTTTGAGAGAGAAAGTGAGACAGAGAGAGAGAGAGAGAGAGGGAGGGAGCTTGAGCACGGGAGGGGCAGAGAGGGAGGGAGACAGAGAATCCCAAAGAGGCTCCACACTGGCAGTGCTAAGAGCCCAATGCAGGGCTCAAACCCATGAACCATGAGATCGTGACCTAGCTAAAACCAAGAGTCGATGCTTAACCTACTGAGTCACCCAGGTGCCCTGTAAAAACAAATGTTTTAAAAACTGTGTGCACTGCTAGGGTTGAGAACTACTGCCCTATGCACAATTCATTTAACATTTATACAGATGTTCCCACATGCTCTTGAATTAACTTATAAAGAACAGAGAGTTTTGACTCTTTTGACTTAAAAGTCAATGACAGAGGCACTGGGGTGGTTCAGTTGGTTAAGTGCCGACTTGGGCTTAGGTCATGACTTCACGGTTCAAGGGTTCAAGCCCCACATTAGCCTCTAAACTGACAGCTCAGAGCCTGAGCCTGCTTCAGATTCTGTCTCTCTCTCTCTCTCTCTCTGCCCCAAGCCCCACTTGTGCCCTGTCTCTTTCTCAAAAATAAATAAACATTAAACTTTTTTTTAATAAAAGTCAATGACAAATACAGTTCACTGAATATAAAATATTAATTTCTAATTAGATTTAATTTTGCTTATCTGGATTCAGATATCTCAGATGGCATAAGAAGTCAATCATTAAATGCATATCTAAGAATGAATATCCACTGGCCTGGGTGTAAAAAGCCAAATAATTTCAGAGATTATAATTAGTAAGTCACACTAAACATTTGCTAGAAGTTAAAGTCAGTTTGGGAACTGGTGTTTTTAGAGGATGATTCCAATTTGATCTTTTCCTATACTGTAGTTTTCTCAAAACACTCTCTCCATTCTTTAGTTTCTCATATTTTCAAAGATCAGGAGTGAAATTAAATCACTAGTTTACCAGGTTTAATGAAAGAGAGAATCAGAGAAGTATCTGGAGAGTTCCTAGGAAACACTTCTAAGGCTCCAACTACAAACTGATGGGGATAAGAAGAGAAAGAAACCTGTGATTACAATCTGATTTGCCTGTATAGTAAATATTCTCAGATTATCTCCATGTTACCTATGTTCATGTCACCAGCTACTACTATAATAAAGGTTATAGCTTTACCATTTACTAAGGTGATACTTGGAGGTATTTCCCCTACTATGTGTAAGGAAGGTGCCCAAGTATGGACAAGGGCAAAAAGAAGTCGCATGTACTATTATGTGCCAATAAATATTTCATTAAAGCCTCATAACTAACCTGCTAGAGTGGTATTGACATCCCTATTTAATACAGGACCCCCAACATCCCTATAAGGAAACACATTGAGAGGCTAAGTGTCCTGTCTAAGGTACACAACTCTAAGTGAAGAGCTAGATTTCAACCCATATTCTTCTCATGGCAAACAGACACCCTTGCAAGACAAGCAACTTTGATCAGAAGATCTGATAAAAGTTAATACAGCACAAAGAATAGTACATAATGCTATCAAATATTAGAACAAAGGAAAACAGCATTTACTTACCCAGTATATCTTTGTGAGTGTAAAAGCGTGTCTTAAATGGCTTGTATTCGTGGATCCGTTTGAAGGTTTCTCCAAAAGGGGCTGGTGGAATTATTTTGTTACAAACAGCACAGCAAACAAAGTTTGTGTAATTTGGATTTCGGATCATAATTAAATTTTAGATGTCTTTTACTATGTGCAGTTAAAGTACTCTTAGGATCAGAAAAAAAAGTTTTAAGAAAAGCTACAAGTTTACGGAAGCTGGAAGAGGATCAAGGTTTTAGGATGATGTTAGAAGCTGGTAAGGATGAAATGATTTGCCATGATTACGTAGTAGTCACGTGCCTAATGGTAAAGAATGGTTCTGAAAGCCTTTGCCACATAAGGTATGGGCACTGGATTTGGGAAGATTTAAGCAGTGGCTCTCTTCCAGACTCTAGCATTAAATTGTTAACTTACTTAGCAACTGTTGCTAGGATAAGCTTTGCTCATAAAAGCAACTAGAAATAATGACGAAAGGGAGCATGGTACAGCCATTCATTTCCCGAATAGTCTCTGTACTATTTTCCTATTGCTGCTATAACAAATCACCACACATTTAGTTAAAACAACACCATTTATTCTCTTGCAGGTCTGGAGGTCAGAGGTTCAAAATGAGTCTTATGAAGCTAAAATTAGGTGTCAGCAGGCTGGTTCCTTCTGGAGGCTTTACTGGAGAGTCTGTTTCCTTGGTGTTTTTACCTTCTAGAGGCCACCTGAATTCCTTGGCTCATGGCCTCACATCATATAGCCTTTTCTCCCCCTGTGTGCATGGACCTCTGTGCTTCTTCCCCTGATCTTCAGCCTCCTGCTTAACAAGGATTAAGATTATATCAGGCTCATCTGGATAATAAAGGTAATTTTCTCATCTTAAAATCCCTAACATGATCATATCTGCTAAGTCCCTTTTGCCATACAAAGTGACATGTTCACAGGATACAGGAATTAGGATCTGAACATCTTTGGGGGTAGGGTAGGACAGGGGGATCATTATTCAGCCCACAACACCTTCTTTTAAGTGGTTTAAAGGGGCACTGGGGTGGCTCAGTTGTTAAGTGTCTGACTTTGGCTCAGGTCATGATCTCACAGCTTGTGAGTTTGAGCTCTGTCAGCACAGAGCCTGGAGCCTGCTTCTGATTCTGTCTTCCTCTCTTCTCTGCCCCTCCCCTGCTCACACTCTTGTCTCTCACTCCTTCAAAAACAAATAAACATTAGGGGCGCCTGGGTGGCTCAGTTGGTTAAGCGTCCGACTTCAGCTCAGGTCATGATCTCATGGTTTGTGGGTTCAAGTCCTGCGTCCGGCTCTGTGTTGCCTGCCAGCTCAGAGCTTGGAGCCTGTTTCAGATTCTGTGTCTCCCTCTCTCTCTGACCCTCCCCTGCTCACGCTGTCTCTCTCTCTCTCTCTCTCTCTCTCAGAAATTAATTTAAAAAAAAAAGCTTAAAATAAATGAATAAATAAATAAACATTAAAAAAATGAAATGGTTTATTTAAAGAATTGACTTCTTTTAGGTCAGCAAAGGAGAGAATTTAATAAATTCACATTTTTTATTCAATTTTTTAAGGTTTATTTATTTTTGAGAGAGAGACCAAGCATGAGCAAGGGAGGGGCAGAGAGAAAGAGAGACACAGAATCTGAAGCAGCCTCCATGCTCTGAACTGTCAGCACGGAGCCTAATGCAGGGCTTGAACTCACGAGCTGTGAGATCTTGACCTGAGCCAAAGTCAGATGCTTAACTGACTGAGTCACCCAGGTGCCTCAATAAATTCACATTTTTATAAATGTGATGTTTTGGTGCCATGGTAATAAAACTGGGAAACATCACAGTATCTTAATGGAAAAGTTACTTTCTGTTAGCACTCAAAATTAATAAGCCTAGTTTTTAAAATCACATAGTTGACTAATTTGTTGTCCTTATTTTGAAATGGATAGTCCTATATCCCAAGAACCTAAGAAACTGGAAAAGATCGGTTAGCCTATGCAGGATAAGGCTACACCAATAAATAACATCACAGTGTATTCAGGGAATTCTTGAAAACTAACTTATCAATTGAACAGCTTGCTCCTCTGGGCAAATAGCTCTCCAATCAGAATTGATTACTTCCCTAGGCAAAAAGGTCACTTACCACTCATTAATATTTTACTTATCGAGACTTGCTTCAAGACCTAATCTATTATGTTACTGAGTTCTGCCCATTCTCAACCAGACTGCCACACTGAAAGACATTCCTATAACTACTTGAACCCTGACTCCAAAACACTATACATCTCTCACCCTGATCATTCCCTTCTTAGACACAATGTCCAAGTGGCATTTTCCCTCAGAGAATGAATAAGAACATCAATACACAGTTGGGCTTTCTTTGACACTGCACACACAAAGCCTGTGCTGTAACTTGTAACCATCCTGTGAAAAGTATCATAGTTAGGTTACTTGTTCCTTAAATTCAATGTGGTTCTTCCCTTCCAGTATTTTTCACAGCTGTAAGCCTGCCTCCCTGAACCTACTGCTACCCTCGTTCATTCTCATACACAGATGTCACATGGCTTAAGACTGCTCTGTGCGTTTTTGCTGCCCTTCTGTGTTGTGATGGTCTCTTGATAGTTCACCTAAACAATATCTCTCCCACCAAATGACAACTTATTTTGAATAATAGAGAAGTTCTAAAATATGATGGTGTAATATTAAATGCATAAGTTGAAAACAGAAGAATTCAAATTCTTTAACAGCCAAAGTACACAGGGAGATCAAAAGCAAAATATAATACTTTAAATTAAAAGGCATTCTATACTACTTAAGTGCATTTTAAACTATATGAAGTAGACTATATAGAGACACATAGCAAAGACATATTTAGGGCTCAGGAATAAGGTTCTGATTTAGTTGCATAATGATAACTCAGTTAGTTAAGCTCTTTAATATCTACAGACAAGACATAATTGCATTTTCACATAGATTACAAAACCACAATTAAGTACTGGAAATTAAAAATTCACACTATAGTGATAAACTCTGCTTATACAGTTATTGTTATCTGGCAATAATAAATGAAACAAAATTTCATAGGTGAGATTTATTACTGAGCCCCAATTACAGTGATTTGGAAAACAGATAAAAATCTATGAATGCTACAGGTCCAGAACCCTTGTAAGAAAAATCTAAATTATATGAGGTAAACCCAAGAGAGTAAAAAGACCTTCTTTTCTTATCTGTTGAATAGTCCTAGTTCTAAAATAACCATAAGAAAATTTGGTTTTATGTTTGTAAGATCATTGGAACATTAATTTACAAAATCTAAAATAGGTAACATTTGGTTGTACTCAAATAAAAACATCATACCTCAGTATAATATACTTTTATTCCAAAGAAAGGCTTCACTTGCATTGGGTTATTCTCTACTTATTTTAGTAGTTGAGTGGAACTACCTTTTCAAATGAAATAAAATTCTGGATTGAAAATAGCTGAAATGAAACTCCAAAACACATGAGCCATCTGTGACTCTGTAAAAATTATTTGTTTCGGGGGCACCTGGGTGGCTCAGGTGGTTAAGCATCTGTCTCTGGTTCAGGTCATGATCTCATGGTTTGTGGATTCAAGCTCCACATCAGGCTCTGTGCTGACAGCTTAGAGCCTGCAGCCTGCTTTGGATTCTGTGTCTCCTCTCTTTCTGGCTGTCTCCCGCTCACACACTATCTCTGTCTCTTTCTCTCAAGAAAAAAAACCCCCAAACATTAAAAAAATTACTTGTCTTGAATGTTGACTGTATGCTTTATAGTAATTTACAATTAATTTTTTTCATAAATATAGGTTCTATGCCAGAAAGAAAATGAACGCCTTTGCAAACAACAAAACTAAACTAAACCCTTAAAACAGGTGCAAATGCACAACTCACCTTAAAATATTAAAAGTAACATACAAATTTAACAGCACCGGGTACTTTTACTATATAGAGCTTAATTAACAAAAACGACTTCCATTCTTGTGGCACTTTCATACAAGGACTTAATGAAAGAAAAATACTGAGAAGCTCTTGCTGTGAATAAAGAATGGGGTAAGGGCTGCAGGATCGGATGTACTCTAGTGGCCCAGGTTGCAACTGCTACCTTTCTTCCTCATAAACACATTCTAGAGCAAGAAGCATGACACTGTGCACTCACAAAGTCATTCATTCGAAGATTTGAGAGCCTGTAACAAAGCTCCATCTGCAGTATCCAGAACGATTAATCCCATTTAGATGTTTTCCTCCTCATATAACTGTGTCCGTCACTATCGATAGCTTCATAGAGATCCTTTGTATTCTCTTGTGTTGCATGTAGATAACCAATATAAGCCACACAAAGGGAAAGGCTTATCAGTCCAAAAGCCATTACAGGTTTGTTCTGTCAAAGAAAAGAAATTATAAATCCTCATTAACACTTAATCATTTGAGGAGACCCAAACGTCTGTTGCACTTTTCTCTTGGCATACCAAGTCTTTACTGCCATACCAGCATTCTCATGGTGATATTTTCCGTTATAACAATTTACCCAGTTCTTTATTCAATTAACTTAACTCCTGAGAACTCAGGGATTATAGAAGGCTATTGCTTCTCTTCTTCAGTCTTTCTCCTGCCTACAGCCAGGGTCTCAGGCCTGCACCTTTGTAGGAAATAAGCTTAGGAATTCTCTAGGTTTGCACTGATGGGTTAACAAGGCATAAAGAGTTAGAAAGCCATTAGGTTGCCCACACTCAAGTTTGGGTAAACAAGATTAGGTTAATAGGTATAGAGAGGGCAGGGCAAAGGCCCCAATATAGAACAAAGGTATATGAAATAAACAAGATTAGGTATTCAGGGCAAAAGTGCCCCCCAATTTAGTACTATAGCATAAAGCTGCTTTCAAGGAAGGAAGGACCTATAGATTGCTGCAGGGCGAAGTTGCCCAGAGCAGAGATAATTAACAAAAGAAAGGTGGCTTGTAGATCCTGAGGTAGCTTGCTCCTTTCTTGTCCCCTAGACAAGTTTTAGGTAAACAGGTGGTGCCTCATGTCTGCTGTAAATAACCTTCTTCCTGGCTGCCCAGTGCCAGGATTTTGCTTTGTATTAACCCAAAACCCGAACCCTGCAAATCTTCAAGACCCCGTTTCCCTATGTCCATGAATTAATGTTCACAGTTTCTCTTTGTGCATGTCCATCACCATGTTTATAAGCCTTCTGATCCTAATAAAAATGGAGCGAGGACCTTTAATCAGGGCTCTTGTCTTTTCCCAGACATTAGCCATCTCTCGCATTTAAATCCTGCGTCCCACTTTCTTGCTAGACAACAAAGAACTAGAGTCTATTACACACCTTCAGGAAGGTGGTGGTTGGGAAATGGGCGAAGGAAATGAGGCACAACAATGGGTCCAGTGTTCAGAGTTTTCACTTTTACCAGTGTGAATGGAGAAGCTGCTCAACTTTCCTGAGCCCAAGTTTCCCCACTGGCAAATCTTCAACTAGTTAATCTTATTAGGAAGTGAGGAATGAGGGGCACCTGGGTGGTTTAGTCGGTTAAGCGTCCGACTTTCGCTTAGGTCATGATCTCGCGGTTCGTGGGTTGGAGCCCCCTGTCGGGCTCTGTGCTGACTGCCAGCTCAGAGCCTGGAGCCTATTTCGGAGTCTGTATCTCCCTCTCTCTCTGACCCTCCCCTGTTCACGCTGTCTCTCTCTCTTCTAGAAATAAATAAAAATATTAAAAAAAAAAAAAAAAAAGGAAATGAGGAATGAAGTATAACATGCTATTCTTGCCTGAGTTCATGGATAACTTGCAAAACGCCATCAATTTTCATGTCATATATTAAGTGAGGCAAAAATGACAACATATACACTTTTTTTCTGGGAACCTACTCCAAAACCTTAAGAAATCATGTGGCTGGAGATACTATTCTGTTCTATAACAGATACTACACTGTTCTATGGTAACTGTGATTTACTGCTGAAAACTCTAAGACCCTTATAGACAAAGCAATGAAACTTTGACACTAGGAGGAAAAAAACCCTTTAAATGCAGGAAAGATGTTTACAGCTCCACAGAAATGTTTTGTTTTGTCTATACTATAACTTAGATCTTTCTTTCTGTGTGTTCACACTCACCAAATTAACCTTTCTTAGGTCAGTGTGAGTCCATGCATGGTAGTGATACAAGTTTCAATTAGCATTTTTTGCTTCTGTGATACTTGCTGCATTACTATAATTTCAACTCTTAGTCATCAAAAGAATAAAGATCCAACCTTTTACTTGGATGGACATATAACAAGGCCACAAGCTTAAAGCAGTTTAAATCTATAAATCTTGACATGCACTTGGCAATTAAAACAACATATTCGTTCAGAGGTTTTAAAACATTCTATCCTGATTTAATTATTTGCTTGTTAAATTGACCTATTTAACTTTAAAACAGTTTACACTGGCAACTATGTTATTAAAATTCTAACCAAGGGGCTTTGTACTGACAGCATGGACCCTGCTTGGAATTCTCTCTCTCCCTCTTTCTTAACACTCTCTCAAAATAAATAAATAAACATTAAAAAAAAAAAAAAAAACAGGTTTACTGTTTTTTTTTTCCTAACCAAGGGGCACCTGGGTAGCTCAGTCCGATTCTTGATTTTGGTTCAGGTCATGATCCCTGGGTTGTGAGATCAAGCCCTGTGTCGAGCTCCATGCTCAGTGTGGAGCCTGTTTAAGACTCTCTCTCTCTCTGACCCTCTCCCCCACTTGTGCTCTCTCTCCAAAATAAAATTTTAAAAAATTAAAATCAAATGCTCAGTCTATAGGATCTCTTTAAAATAAAGGAATAGGGGCACCTGGGTGGCTCAGTCGGTTAAGCGTCGGACTTCAGCTCAGGTCATGATCTCATGGTTCGTGGGTTTGAGCTCCACATCGGGCTCAGCTCAGAGCCTGGAGCCTGCTTTGGATTCTGTGTCTCCCTCTCTCTCTGACCCTCCCCTGCTCATGCTGTCTCTGTCTCTCTCTCAAAAATAAAAATATTTAAAATAAAATAAAATAAAGGAATAAAAATTCTAACCAAATCCAATACATTTAAATATACTGTAAAATAATTCATTTACATTTGTTAAAAAAATTATATTTATTTTAAAATAAAACTGGTCAAATATATTCAGTAATTTGCAACAAGAATAGAAATGATTAGTTAACCCCTTTATAGAGTACTAATGTATGTTTTGAAGTTTTTCATATTTGTAATATCTCTTAGGTAAAAACATTATAATTAAGGCTAGAATTGTAGTCTATAAAAATAATCAGATTTTAGTTTTGTTTTATTTCAGTGAAAGGTCTTATTTACTTAATAATACCTGATCAAACAATAAAAATTTCCATCAAATTAGTGCATCTATTAAAATAAAATTTTAAAGATGAACTTTAGAAGTTGATCTATCAAAGTGCAACTGTGTTCTGTTAAAGCTCTCAAATACTGCAAAGTAATTAGTTTTATATGTATAGAGAAATAGCATTTAAGATTTCCCTCCCACCTGCTTTTATTCAGAGAGTCCTTATTAGTCAACATAAAATTTTTATGACACAATCAAATGTGACAGGAAAACAAACACTTTCTATTTCTGATAGCCCTAGTTAAACTGAGCACAATGTCTTACGGGTTTAATGAAGAGCTCTGGATTCACAGCCCGAAATAAGGTTGTTGTGCGGACCCCTCTGAGCCCTGGGTTTTGAAAGTCTTTCTCTTTGGGTAGTTCCTTTTTAAAGCTGGGAGATTCAGGTGCGGAAGACATCTTGACTAATGATTTATTACCTAGAAATAAAATAAGAGACTTTTTTATTCATGATAGTTTTTCTGATATTCTGTAAAAAAAAAAAAAAAGCATTCTGCATGCATTTCTTTTTTTGAACTCCAGTCTAGATACATACCAAGAGTGATTGCCAGTTATTTTATTACTTTGTATAACATGTACTTTGTAAATGGTGCTTTAAATTTTATTTGGTAAAATCGTTATTTTATCTTTGATCTCTTAGAACCAGTGAGGTTGGCAAAAGTTGTTTTCCTACTTCAACAGAAGCCTGGAGAATTGTTCTTGGTCTGAGTCACACTGAATCTTGTTATATGAAGAGGGGACTAAGGGTAGCAGGAGCCAGTGGATAATCCATCCTCTTCTTTATTCCCTCCCATTTTCACTCTTCCTCACTTTCCAACAGCTTTGAAGGGATACTGGCATTTCTCAGTTTTTCCTACAGCTTCACCCCTGGCCCATGATAGTCTTCTTTTGGGGGCCAACCTAAGCATGAGTACCAAGGAGTAAGGATAAGCAGCTATTTTCACTCCTCATTTGCCTGTCAGTGACTTTTTGGGAAGGAATGCTCTGCTATCTCCTCAATCTGAATATCCATTCTCCTGTTAATTACTCCATTTTATTAAATCCCAATGTGTCTTTTGGCTTCTGGTTCTCTCAGTTGGAGTGTCAACATTTTGTGACTATTTTTGTCCTCTAGGTACTATTAGGCAAAAGTTTAATCTTATCATTCCTGCCACCTAATGGTGGGGAGAGGAGGGGAAAGGTAGGAAGGAAAGAGGTGGGAAAGAAAGTTTCCAAAGGAGGTAATTAATGACAATGTAATAAAATTCTCTGGGGAAATACTGTAACCCTACCATACAGTAAACATTATGACACAAGAGTCAAACATTCACATTTAAACACTCACTGGGGCTTTGTTCATATAAGTATTCTTTGTTTTCCATCTTACAGACCTTATAAAGGCAATATTTTTACAACTTTATGAGTTATGGAGAAAATTAGTTCAGTTTTTTCAAAGCTGTCTGTGTTGAAGTGGTTACTTAACCTATACCACTTAGTTGCATAAACACCTCATCAGGAACACCTACCTGAAGGGAAAGGATTTCTCAACACTTTCTATACTTGCTAGAGTTTCTGAAATGTTCATAGTTCACTATTCCATCATTCACTGGTTGTCATTGTTACTATGATGTTCGACATCACTTTCTGGTTCCACTTTGAAATTACATAGCACTCCTATAGCAATTTTCAGATTTGCTAACTCTTTTAAAATAGTTCAACTGCTATCTCTAGACACAAAGTCTTTAAAATCAAATTCATCTGGGAGACAAGTGACAGTAGCAATTAGAGTACCAGACTATTTCAAATACCATGCTTGGTGTTCAGTCTTCTTCCAGGTTGACCTCAGGGTGTTCCATAGGAACCATGCCTACTTTCTGCCAAAATTTCACTATGAATGGCTCTACAGACCACCAGTTTTCAGCAATCTTGCCAATAACTTGCTTCGTTTTATTTTTGCAGTTTTCCCTTCATTATCCAAATTTAGAAAGAGTTGTTTTGGCAGTATGCTTTCACTGTGAAAATTAACCCCCATCTGATGGCTGCTCATGGGAAAAACTCACCACATGCATGATCTAAGCATAAGAGTGTGTTGTAGGCAGAGCAACTGACTATCAGCAGGAGGATATTGTGTTTTGCTCCTTTCATTCTCTTGCCAGCATTTCTCATTCATTACATAAATCTCTCACACTGCAGGTATGTGTACTAGCTTGGTAATCACAGAGGAGCAAATGAACATTTCTGAATCACTGAAGGTAAACTGACTTGCCAATGGCAAGTAGTCTCACCTTTTCTGTCCAAGATGCATTCAGAAGAAAAGAGGAATCAGCAATCTTGGTTTACTTCTTTTGCAAAGTCCACCTTGGGCATGAAGTATATGAGGTAGCAATTCATAAAACATTTCATCAGCATTTCAAACATCAGTCAAGATGTAACTAGCAATTGTTTTTGGGTTTTTGTTTGTTTGTTATTCCTTCTGTATCCAAGTTACTCATTTTCTCCACTGGAACAGTGTTGTCTTTTTTTTTTTTTTTCCACTGTAGACAATTTCTGAAACGATTCCATAACGTGCCTGATATTTGTTCAGCCAGCATATACTTGCTTGAAACTCATCATGCCCAAAGGTGGGAAAAAATCCACTGCTTTCTGCTGACCAAGAGGTCCACTGACATGCCCATTTCCTGTGTTCACTTCTTTTTTTTTTTCTTTTTATTTTTATTTTTTAAATTTATTTCTAGGAGAGAGAGAGAGTGAGCAGGGGAGGGTCAGAGAGAGAGGNACAGACTGAAACAGGCTCCAGGCTCTGAGCTGGAAGTCAGCACAGAGCCCGACGCGGGGCTCGAACCCACAAACCGCGAGATCATGACCTAAGCGAAAGTCGGACGCTTAACCGACTAAGCCACCCAGGCGCCCCTCCTGTGTTCACTTCTTGATACCACACATAACCAGCTATAACAGGGACCTGGCATTTGCTTCTGCGTTAGGCCCAGAATCCCTTTAACTTTCTCCTCATTTATGGCCTTTCAATAATGTCAACAATACAATGGGAGGGATGGTAAATTCCTTTGCTACTCCTCCTTTCTTGTGACAATAATCTACTCCTATTGTCATTTCATTTCCTTCTATGACAACTGCTGACATTTCGTCTTTCCCTCTCAGCCATGAGAGCAGGGTAGATGGTATGTGCAAATGTATTTAGAATTTAAGTAACAAATGGTGGTCACCAGATGCCTAAGCTAGGTGCCAGTGATGTTTCTCCTTAAGCTAATAACATGATTGACTGTAATATAGGGAAACAAATATCATCAAGAAGCAGTCACTAAAGTGGAAGCAATACTATAGTCTGTAAATCAGCTGTGCCCATAAAACAAATGTGAGGCAGGAAACAGTTAACACAATACCCATGCTGTTAGGACTGAGTCACAGCCTCAGAGTGTACCACTGATTGAAACTGGGGCATTAGATAAAAATTCTAGGAAGGCCTGAAAACGCAAATATACAAAGGTAAGTCATTCCAATCATACACTGACAAAGTGGCATTTTCCTTCAATTATTGAGAAACTGCTGCATGTAATTAAAACAAAGATAACCAGTAGAATATGGTTTAAAATTGTTTAGTGGGAAGGTAATGGGGAAAGTGGGTATAGAGAGCACATATTGTAGAGTGCATAAGGGCCCTCAGACTGCAGTTTATCACATACACTGTGTTGATGAAAACATGCCAAGAACTGAGGATGGTTAACTCACTACTTACCTCAAGTCCAAAAAACAAGAGAGAGAGGGAGGGAAATTTCACTATTTTAAAGTCAAAGGGATGTAATGATGTTCAATGTCAAAATTCAACCTATATGAAATGTCTGTAAAAACTACAGATTAAGAGTGTTCTAGGGGCGCCTGGGTGGCTTAGTCGGTTAAGCTTCCGACTTTCGCTTAGGTAATGATCTCGCAGTTCGTGGGTTCGAGCCCCGCGTCGGGTTCTGTGCTGACTGCCAGCTCAGAGCCTGGAGCCTGTTTCAGTCTGTGACTCCCTCTCTCTCTGACCCTCCCTTGCTCACATTGTCTCTCTCTCTCTCCTAGAAATAAATAAAACATTAAAAAAAAAAAGAGTGTTCTAAAATGAATTGTAATGACTTCATTTTAGTTGCAAGATTCCTTGGTATCCTCTCTTCCTTAGCAGAACCTTTTTCCTTTGTAATGAATCAAGGAAATAAGCAAGTAAGGCAGTATTCATTATATCACAATCTCCAGACAGCCACATTTGCCTTAACAATGAACTATATATGTTAAACTTTTTATCAGAAATGACAATTAATGGAGCGCCTGGGTGGCTCAGTCAGTTGACCATCTGACTTAGGTTCAGGTCATGATCTCACAGCTCATGAGTTTGAGCCCCATGTCACCCTCTGAGGTCTCAGCTCAGAGCATAGAGCCTGCTTCAGATTCTGTGTCTCCCTCTCTCTCTGCCCCTCCCTCCCTCACACTCAGTCTCTCTGTTTCTCGAAAATAAAAAAAAATAAAAAAATAAAAAAAATACTGCCTGAGCTGGAAGCCACCAGAAATGATTATTAAAGGGACATTTACAAATTAAGGGATTACCTACTACACTATATGCAGATAGCAATTTCAAAAATTTCATATACCATAATTTCCACTGTTTATGATACTTTCTGCAAAGAATATAAATAACATTCTCTATTATATATCAGGCTTTTATCAGACTTACATATCAGTTTTTTATCAGATATAAATTTCCTTTACATATCAGTCTTTATATAAGACAGCTTAGGGTGCCTAGGTAGCTCAGTTGGTTAAGCATCCGACATCAACTCAGGTCAAAATCTCATGGTCCATGAGTTCAAGCCCTGTGTTGGGCTCTCCACTGAAAGAAAGCTCACAGCCTGGAGCCTGCCTGGGATTCTGTGTCTCCTTCTCTCTCTGCCTCTTCCCCATCACACTCTGTCTCTTTCTCTCTCAAAATGAAACATAAAAAAGAAAAAGCTCAATTTTATTGCTACTTTTTTTCTGAGCCACAGTCACTGAAGATGTTACAATAGTTCTCCCAAAATTGCCTGAATGTGTTTATTCCATCTATTGAACTAACAAAAAAATCTTAAGAACTTTCTATACTTTAAATAAAAAATACAGATTACTGAGGCCAAAATGGGCTTTAGTAGCCAAGAATTTGTTATACGTAACTATAAGAAACAAAACCCAACAAAATCTTTTCATGTGTAAAGTTCTTTTGAATCTCTTCACATGCCTGGCCCACAGAGATCTAGATACATGGCTAGAGCAGAAGTTCAAGATGTGTTGGTTGAATAAGCAAAGTATATACAGGGCAAAGCCTTAGTTGTTCATTCACAGATGAACAAAGAGAGTTCATTGTCAAAACTCTCTGGGAAAACAAATATCTACATCAAAAGTAAACTTTTAATCTAGAACTAAAAGCTGACTAGCTATTTTCAAGTACAGGGCTAATGTAAATTCCATTTTTAAAAGCTGCAGAACTAATCATAAATTCAAAGCACAGCAATAATCTATTCTGACATTACCACTCAAACGAACCGTACCAAAGACAAAAACATCTATGTAACATCTAGCACATTTCTTTCAGAACTTCCTGTCTTCCCATCACTTTCTCCAACTTTTTCCCTTACTCTTTTGTTTCCTACTGCAAGTAAGCAGCACTTACTTATTTGCTTATGATATTGACCAATCTCTAGTTACACTCACTTTTTTTTAAGTTTATTTATTTATTTTGAGAGAGAGTGTAGGGGAGGGCAGAGAGACAGGGAGAGAGAATCCCAAGCAGGCTCTTCACGGTCAGCACAGAGCCTGACACGAAACATGAGATCATGACCTATAACCAAAATCAAGAGTTTGACGCTTAACCCCTCGTTATACTCACTTTCAAGATAGGTTTATTTTTAAGCTAAGGGAAGAAAACTCATTTACTGTATTCAAAAGGGAATCACACAAAACAATCATGCAGAGTCTGGCAGGGATGATGGAAACTTCATTGCACAGCACCTAGCTAAGCGATTTGGTGATTATTTTGTGTGTGGGCCCACTTGGAAAATATTCCATATATCAGGTATTCACAGGGCCACACCTGGCTGGTGCAATTTGTCCAGGAGCCTCTACTCTTATTTCTTCTTCATGTTTCCATCACTCATTTCTTGTTTCCTTATTGACAAATATGATAAGAAACTGTTGTTTCTAAATTTTTAAAAATAGGGTAGGATTTTTGTTTAAGATACAAAACAGATGTACATAAGGGAAAGGAAATAAAAGTAATATAACAGGGAGAGGGAAAAACATAAGAGACTCTTAAATACAAGAACAGGGGCGCCTGGGTGGCTCAGTCAGTTAAGCGTCCGACTTCGGCTCAGGTGATGATCTCACAGTTCGTGGGTTAAGCCCTGCGTGAGGCTCTGTGTTGACAGCTAGCTCAGAGCCCGGAGCCTGTTTCAGATTCTGTACCTCCCTCTCTCTCTGGCCTTCCCCTGTTCATGCTGTCTCTCTCTCTCTCTCTCTCCCTCCCTCAGAAATAAATAAAACATAAAAAAAAAAAAATCTAAATACAGAGAACAAACTGAGGGTGGTGGGAGGGGCCTGTGGGTGGGGGGATGGGCTAAATTGGCAAGGGGCATTAAGGAAGAGAATTGCTGGGATGAGCACTGGGTGTTATACATAGGGGATGAATCACTGGACTCTACTCCTGAAATCATTATTGCAATATATGCTAATTAACTTGGATGTAAATTAAAAACAAATTAATTTTGAGAAAGACTTAAGGGAATTATAAAACAAAATATTTTAATGAGATATAAAATATACTTGTTATTTTAGTTTCACATACCATACTATCTTAATATTTAAGGAAAACATTTAAGTGTGGAACAAAACACCTTAAAAACAATTTAAATTAGAATAAACAAGTTTGGGTTAGAATCAGAGGACTTTTATGTCTTGAGGGGACCCAGCAGAGCCTCAAATTACAAAGCTTTGAATAACTGACAGCCTCTGTGGGCCTGTTTCCACCTAAAGGAGTAATGTTATCTTACTGCATAGAACTGCTGTGTGGATTGAAATAACATTTTTTTGAGATAATATTTTTAAAGGATATAACAGATGCTCAATAAATGGTCACTGTTGTCATGCTTACCACCTAGTCCAATTCCCTTTAACAGAGAAACCTAGACGCAAAGAGACTGTCCTTGCCATTTAGGAGTGAGATAATCCAGGTCTCTCAATATCTACCCCACCCCTATTCCACTATTTGACCCCACTTATTTCAAAATCGGTAAGACGCTGCATTTACAAGTTATTTCCAGAATTACTGAAACACAAAATTGTAATCACTTAAATGTTTTAAATGGATTTGGGTTTTGTTGTTTTTGATGTAAAAAAGAAATACTGTTTAAAAAGTATCTTTCCATCTCTTGAATTTACTGTACCTGAGTAAGGGAGAAAGGTTTTCACAATGGCGGTTACAGACCATCTGAGAGCTGTCTACTCCCCTCCCCATACTGTGGTACCTACACTACAGCTGGCTATTCCTCCAACACAGATGCATTTGAAGCCTCCAGAAAAAGAAACCGCATTCAATTAAGTTTCAGACACTGTGTTGCAAAGGGGACTCACGACTTTTAACACAGTTACTAAGGAAAGAGGCGCCTCCAGTGAAAACAGTTACAACACCATTTCCCTCTAAACAGGAGTCTGGTGAGCTGGGACAGCAAGAGGCTGTCCAGGAAATGGGAGGGCTGTTGCGGTGGAGGTGTCCGTCGATGGAGCACTGACAAGAGGCCCGGGCTCCTGGCACGTAAGCGGCGGGAAACGGGTCTTGTGGGGTCAGAGAGCCCCGAGACCGCTCAGAGCGCCCGCGGAGTGCCGAGGGCTCGGGGTGTCTCGGGAGAACGCCGTCAGGTCCAACGCACCTGGGAGGAAGGCTTGCAGGGCGGCCGAGCCCTCCAAGGCCTGAGACCAGCGCGCCGTGGGGCGCCCGGCCTGTTCCCGCAGGCAGCCCGGGGCCTCGCCGCCACAGGTCACCCGCAGCCGCCGAACACCTGCCGGGAGGTCACCTACTGCGCGTGCAGTCGCTGCTCCGCCTCGTTTCCGCCTGCGGGAAAGAGCGGCTCAGCGCGCCCAGCCGGCTCAACGCCACAGCGGCCCCTACAGTCTGGAGGCTGCGACGCAGAGGCGCGTGGGCTGCGGGACCCGGGCCAGCCCCGCTCCCGGTACCTCCCAGGCCCTGGCGCCGCCCACGGATTGGCCCGCTGGAGTTCGCAAGGGGCGTGTTTAGTGTCTTCCTATTTTACCGTTAGTTTTCAGCTCCCTACGGTTCAAATAACCTTCCACTTTCATGTATCTGTGTTTTGTATACATAAAAGGAGACATCATTTAATGGAAGGGGAAAGCATTATGAATCAAAGAAGAAGGCTAGGGTTTGGTATCCTCCTGCCCTGATTTTAGAGGCACAGTCATTCAAATGTGCAGTTAATACTCTGCCATTCTACTAGTGCCTTAGTACTACTAGATTCTAGAAGACATGTATAGTTATGGTTGTGATAAGAATAGATAAGGTTGCTGGTTTGCACATACCTTCCCCAATGTTAAAGTTTGTTGCTATACCAGTTGTCTGAAAACAAACAAAATAGTTAGAATAGTAGTGCTACAGGAAGGTGGGAGAGACGCTGGTTCTTGTCTCACAGAGTCGAAGAATGAATCTGGTGGATAACAGATTGAGCAAAGTGGTGAGTTTATTGAGAGTATAAAGCTCTCAAGAGTGAGAGGGGTCCTGACTCGGTAGCTATGAAGGATTTTTGTCCCTGACTTTGTATTGGGACCTTAGCAGAAAGTTTATGAGCCTCCACGCATGGAACCTAGCCCAGGCAGGTCTGGAATACGTTTATCTTATCTTCCCTCCTTCCCTCCGCCCCCCCCCTTCCCAACCCCTGCAGCTTCCCACTTGGCAACTGCGCCTGCCTCCCTGAAGGTCCCTTAGCTCTCCCTGCTGTTAACCCTTTCCCTACACAACAGGTGCTCAGATATGGGCATGGATTTGTGTAAACAATGGGCACATGAATTTTGAATTTAAAACTCATTCATTTGGGGCACCTGGTTGGCTCAATCGGTTAAGCGTTTGACTTTGACTCAGGTTATGATCTTGTGATTTGTGAGTTCAAGCCCCATGTCAGGCTCTGTGCTGACTGCTCAGAGCCTGGAGCCTGCTTCCAACTATGTGTCTCCCTCCCTCTCTCTCTCTCTCTGCCTCTCCCCTGCTTGTGCTCTCTCTCTCTCTCTCAAAGATAAATAAACATTTAAAATAACCTCATTCATTCAAGAGAAATTATATTTGACATGAGGTTTGATTTCTAAAAGTTCATCGGCATCTGGTATTACTAGGCAATCTTCTGACAAGTTAAATTTTATCGAAAAGCTGTTTGTCACATGACAAGGTGCTCAATATCATTAATCATCCAGGAAATGCAAATCAAAATCACAATAAGATATCATCTCACACCTGTTAGAATGGCCATCATCAAAAGAGACAAGAGAAAAGTGTTGACAAGGATGCAGAGAAAAAGGAACTCTCTTGCACTGTTGGTAGGAATGCAAACTAGTGCAGCCACTGTGGAAAACAGTATGGAGGTTCCTCAAAAAATTAAAAATAGAACTAGCATATGATCCAACAATTCCACTTCTGGATATATATCCAATGTATATGAAATTACTATCTCAAAAAGATATCTGCACCCCATAATGTTCATTTGCAGAATTTTTACAATAGCCAAAATATGTTTGTCAATGGATGAATGGATAAAGAAGATGTGGTATATAGGTACAGTGGAATATTATTCAGCCCTGAGAAAGGACATCCTGCTATTTGTGACAACATGCATGGATCTTTTTTTCTTTTTTTCTTTTAGCAAGAAAGAGCAAGAGGGGAGAGGGGCAGAGGGAGAGACAGAATCTTTTCTTTTAATATTTATTTATTTATCTTTAGAGAGGGACAGAGAGATCAGGCTGGGGAGGGGCAGAGAGGGATACTGAATCCCAAGCAGGATTCCACACTGACAGTGAGGAGCACAACACAACACTCGATCCCATGAGCCTCAGAATCATGACCTGAGCTGAAATAAAGTTGGACATTCAACTGACTGAGCCACCAGGTGTCCCATGAAAGAGAATCTTAATTAGGTTCCATGCTCGGCATGGAGTCCAAAGCAGAGCTTGATCCCACAACCCTGGGATCATGACTTGAGCCAAAATCAAGAGTTGGAGGCTCAACAGACTGAGTCACTCAAGAGCCACATGACAACATGGAAGGATCTTAAGGGCATTATGCTAAGTTAAATAAGTCAAACAGAAAGACAGGTGCTGTAGATTATGTATATGCAGAATCTAAAAAAGGTGAATGCATAGAAATAGAGACTAGAATGCTGGCTGCCAGGGACTGAGGACATATGAGAAATGGGGAGATATTGGTCAAAGAGTACAAACTTCCAGTTAGAAGATGAATGATTTCTTTTTTTAAAACTTTATTTTATTTATTTTGAGAAAGCAAGCACATAAGTGGGGGAGGGACAGAGAGAGAGAGAGAGAGAGGCAGAGAAAGAGAAGCCCAAGCAGGCTCTACACTGTCAGCACAGAGCCCAGTGTGGGCTTGAACTCACAAACTGTGAGATCATGACCTGAGCTTGAGTCCAATGTTTAACTGACTGAGGCACCCAGGCACCCCAAGAATTTCTGAAGATCTAAAGCACAGCATAGCAATTACAGTTGATAATACTGTATTTTATATCTGAAAGTTGCTAATAGATCTTAAACATTCTCACTAAAAAAATTTAACTAGGTAATGCTATGTATAGATATGTTAAATCAAGATATTATACACCTCAAATTTGCACAATGTTATGTGTTAATTATACCTCAATAAAGCTGGGGTGGAGGGGAAGTTGCCCATAAAATCAGCCAAAGGGCCTGCATAAACAAACACAACACCAAACTTCCAGATTATGTTCAAAAGTCTCTCGAAAAGAAAAGAAAGAAAGAAAAGAAAAGAAAAGGCTATTTGTGCAGTAACCAAAGAACAACTGAGGGCTACAAACATACTTGTGTTGCATTAGCAACATACGCATATTTTCTCCTTATCCTTCAGGGTTCTCCTCACTAATCAGTAAAATAGCAAGTATCATTATAGAAACAAAAGTATCTTTACTGTCAGAATCAATCCAAAGTGATGAGGTGAAAGAATTTTTAATAAAAGAGCATAAACTGTAGGTAAAGATAATAGAGAAAAGCCTAAAGGCCTTGCCAATGTCATGGATATGAAAAATGCAAGTGTTGTGAATAAACAATAGTTCTTTCCATTTTATCATGCTTTTAAGAAATTACTTTGAAGAATGATTGCCAGTCTGAAATCAGCTTTTATAATCATTTTAAACAGCAGCATCAATATTTAATAATATTTAACAGGGGATTTGGTATTTGCTAGGATTAGGAGATTTTATATTTGATGGGATGAGCTGCATAAAACAAAAGTTCACCTGTGTGAAAATACATTCAAAATACAAAATACATCTATTTTCATCAGGAGTTCATCAAGTGTGTCTGGGGACAATAGTGGTGGTCTGCGAGCCTTCTCAAGGGAATCTCTGATGTGCTGCTTCCTTTTTTTTCAGGCATGAATGGACAGCTGTCTTACAATACTTAATAAAAATCATAAATCAATTTACTGCTGTTTTAACAAAAACAGGGTTTGTTTTGCTGTTGTTGCTGTTGTGATAAAATAAATGCTGGCTCCTCTTCCCCAGCATTAAGCCAAACCAATGTCAAAGTAGCTGAAATCATTAATGTGGGCCATGGGATATCTGACTTCATTGAATGCATTATTAGCTGACAAACTGGAAAAAATTCAGCAAGTGTGGTATAATACAAAAATAATCCCAATTCTCCACTCCTCCATACTCTACTCCTCACCCCTGTGTCCATCCCTTATCCATGCCCTCCCACTCTGATTCTGGGATCAGCCTTATGAATTATTTCATGGGTAATATGGTATTCGCAAATATGATGCAAGCAGAAGCTGAAAAAGCGTTTGAACTGGTGATTATGCCCCAACTAGCCCACTGGAGAGAGCCAAGCCAAGTCATCCTCATCATTCCAACTGAGGCCATCCTAGACTGGCCCCCAGACATGCAAGCAAGCCCAGCCCAGATCAGCAGAGCTACCTGCCAAGGTCAGACAAGCCTGCTCAGAACAGCTGGTTTAAACAGGTGTGTTGGCTGTTGTGCAGCTTTATTGTGGCAATAGATAATTCATACACACGCCCTCCATTGCAAAGTCCCTGAAATCAAAGAGCATTTGCCTGATAGCTTGAGAAGTAATCTGCTTCCGACGGGAACTGTAAGAAGAACAAATGTTTGCTATTTGTAAAAACTATATTGTGGTCTGGCATCATAGGAATATCTGTTATGGCAAGGAAATGAAATTTATCAAATTGTAGGAAACAAATAGGTTTAAAAAATTAGAGTGGGGAACTGATGTTATTTTGAGGATCACAATCTATTGCTGTTTTTCTTCCATATAATATTTTTAGGAAAACTGGTTTTGATACTTTCCACATCAGGTCATCTTGTACTTACTTTTATTTCTAAACACTAGAAAAAATAATGGTTTATTCTATATTAGTTTTTCTAAAGTCTCATAATCTCAAAGCACTTTAAAAAAAGAAAAATTAGGGGAACTAGTGATGCGTCCAACTTATGCTCAGGTCATGATCTCACAGTCTATGAGTTCATGTCCCACATTAAGCTCTGTGCTGACAGCTCAGAGCCTGGAGCCTGCTTCTGATTCTGTGTTTCCCTCTCTCTCTCTCTCTCTGCCCCTCCCCTGCTCACACTCTGTCTCTCTCTCTCAAAAAAAAAAAAAAACACATAAAAAAAGAAAAATTAAAAATATTTTTATTCTAAATTTTTAAAAATTGAGCCATGGGAGCAGGAATCCGTTATCAGTGCAGTTAGACTCAGTTTAGTGAAAAAGATTTTGGTGATTCAATGTGACAGGTACTATGTGGATATTGGGAATTCAAAGATTAAGAT